CGTCACAACTCAGACGATACCCACTGGTAATGACCCATTACCTTACCTAAAGAAAGTAATACTTCAAAGAAAACAAAATTCTTTTGGCAGTTTCAAAAGAAAGTTGTATTTTTTAATTTTTTCCCCTCAAACGATGTGTTTCCCATTCTTTTCTAAATAACACACCATGACATCTTTCTTTTACTTCAGTGGGTTAAGCTGAGTAAAAACATGAGGCACAATGAGCCCCAAAAACAGAGTGCAGTGATTTCAGCAGAGTGATTAACAACCCAATGCAAGATAAAACAGGAGTTATTTGAACTAAAAAGAACCTGCACATAAAAAGAAAAAAAGAAAAAGAAAAAAATGTTTCTGCTTCAAGACAAAGTGATATTGCTTTAGTAGGACAATCTTAAAGAAAAGAAGATGCTAGTAAAGTATGAAAGAGGGAGAGAACTGCTCTAAATCATATTTTGACAAAAGAGATAGGAGAAGAGTAAGTGACTGTAAGTCTACAGTCATTATGGGCTATTATGAGATTCTAAAGATTTGTCAACCTTAGTTAAAAATACCTCGGTATCACAGTTTCATTATAATATTTAAAAGAAAGATTTCAAAGAGCTACTTAACATTATTTAAATGCGAATATACAAACTATTAATTGACGCTGGAAACGTATGTATAATAATATAATCCATGATATGTAATTGTCACTTTAATTTGATTCACTGACTGATGGCAATGTTAACAATAACTCTTTAAATTCCTGGTATTTCATGTATCAATGTCAATGATTCATATATCAGTTTCTATTAGCTAAAAATAAAGAACTCAATTCTTCTTCAACAACATTGGAAATTAGCTGTGCATGCAACTTAACCCTAATAAACTCAGGCTAATCGCTTAGCATACCAAATACACTTAAAACTAAAATTTCAATAAAGATACAGGAAATTAATGGTAAACTCTTTAAGTTTCAATTAGATTAATGCTTCTCAACAGCTGGCTTTTTTTAAACAAGAGCTCTATTTGTTAGATTTAACAGGTAGAGCATCAAAACGGCTAGGAAAGGTAGAGCACGTAGCTCTTATTCTCTACACTGCAAAAACAAGCTAAATAATAAGTAAAGATTTATTAAATTAAGTGTATTTACCCTTAATTTGAGTTGGTAAGTAAGAGGATTTGCAAATGGAATGAGTATATTTACTCTTAAAATAAGACAATTAGATTAAATTCACTTGAAATAAGACAATGCAATTGTTTTTTTTCTTATTTCAAATGTGAATTATCTTGTTCCATTGGCAAAGTGTCTCATTTACCTCCTCAATTCAAGAAAAAATGCACTTATTTAAAGAAATAATTACTTATTAAGATTACATTTTTTTGCAGTGTATATAGCCAGATAATACTTGGGTCACTCTGAAACTTTGATTTATTAAAATGACTAAAGACTGAACGTTGTGAAGAATTATGTCATTTTGAAGCCATAACATTTCAAATCCTTGCCATGCTTTATTACTAATAGCTCCATGTGTTGTTCATAAACTCCTAAATCTGTGCTGACAGCAATCAAAAGAGCAATCAAAATCATATAAAGAGCATCACCAAAGTTAATAGTTCTCTCTCAAAGTAATAACTGACAATTTAGACCAGGTTTTAGCCAGCAATTGTGGTGTTTTTTTCCCTGTGTTTTGTCAAAAAACAAAGCAATATTTAGGCATAAAGGATGAATTATAAATAAATGTTTTACACTGTCGGTCAGAATTTAAAGTTTGGGAAATTGCTTGTTCAGCAACCTGATCACAGAATGCAATTGAACCGCAAAGAATAGATGTCCATATTTGGAGACCCAGTGTATGTCTTAATCTTTTACACCAGTTGTTTCATTTTTGCCTTGGTTACAAAAACTTTGCTGTGTCCCGTCCCTCCCCAAACCAACTATTTCCACAGCTAAACAAAGTTAACCCCCCTGCCCCATCTTTCTTTGTCCTGGCTTTTTTCATTAATTGTCATTCTTAAAAGGATAAATAATTTAAAGAGATTAAGTATACTCAATTTCAAATACAAAATGGGCTAACAATGTGCTTTATTCTTTAGTTTAGCACTACATGAGCCAATCTCAAGTCTCTCTGCTTTGGAATTTCGAGAAAATTACTATTGAAATTTGTGCAACCTGCTGAATGAGCTATGTAGATTATTTTTTTTTCTTTTTTAATTCTACACAAATGATAAATCCAAGGATAGAAATTTACAGCAAGATCTGGAACAATATAGCTTTGACTTTGGGACTGTATGGGTCTTTACATATCAACCCAGTGGCTGTGCATGAAGAAAGAACAAATAGACCACATTAAGATGAGGCAGCTTTTATCTCCAAATCAAGGATTGCATGAGGTTGATTTGGAGCAATCTCAGACTTTGAGGAGAACATTTGTGTTTGTTTTTTTGTATTTTTTGTTTCCATCTAAATGTATGATAATAACTTGAACTACTATAAAAATCAGGCGGCAGTGAGTTTTCCAATTTTGTTTTTCTTTAATAAGCAGACTTTTATGTCTTATTAGCTTTACATTATTTTGTTAATAGTTGCCTTCAAAAATACCTACATTTCTACAGAATACTACTTGAGTTAGCTTGACAATAACAACTTTGAAAATCCTGTCCTGACATTATGATATATAAAGTATACGATATCATCAGTGATATGCAAAATTGACGATAGGTTTAATAAGCCACAAATAAATATTGCCAAGTCGGTTGATGATCTTTGGGGGTCATTCTTTCTATTAACAGTTTCTCACAAAGAGAAATATAATTCTTAGTTTTTAGGAATTAGTTTTTTTTTTTACCCAAAGTGCAGAGACAGAAATAGGCCGTTGAGGAAAAAATGTAAACTAAAAAGGGAGATACACAAAGCATGTTAGGAGGTAAAATCTAGCTATTGTTAGTGTATGCTAGGGGAAAAGTGCTGTGGTGCAGAAAGAGTGGAAACTCTTGACAGCTTTCCGGTGGCAGTCTGACGGCTGAGCGGGGAGGCTAGAAGGAAAGTGCAGCAGAGGGCTGCTGTCAGGCCACAGCAGAGCCCCATTTAACAAGGTCCATAGATGAGCTGCACCACAACACTTTGCAGGCGAATGAGAAGAGGAGGAGTGGGGGGGTTGTAAGGAGGAATGAGTAAGGCTTAGACATTTTTACACACACTCACCACCTGTCATGCCTGCAAACCCTCAAAACCCTAACATGTGTATTGGAGAGAAAATAGGAGATTTTAAGTTATAATGAGATTTGAACAGGACTAAGGGAATCGGATGAATATCAGAGGAATATCTGATTATTCCAGCTTGTGGAACCTTGACACCTTCATCTGTACACAAAGAATGGATGAGCAGCAGTAGATAACCTTCATAACTTACTCAGTTGTACAGCACTGTCAGCAGGGTTCGTTTATGTGTTGTCATCGAACCCCATTTCCGCTATAGTATCATTGTTCAGGAAGCTCATCTGAACCGTGGCAGAGGACACAATAAATAAATTATTTTAGCTAAAGTAATCTATGTTTTATTTCTAATAATGGTAAAAAATGAAAATAAATATAGGCCATAGTGCTGATGCCCTTATTGAACATTGTACATTTAGGCTGCCCCTGAAAACTTTATTTGTATGTGCAGGCCAAGATGGGAGGTTTTATGTTGTTATTAATTCTTTTCAAGTCTGGTTAATTACATTTTAGCGATTAAGTGTGTTAAGTGTAATCTAATGACGCATTTTTTTTCCTTAAGTCATTAAAGCTTGCTTATACCATGGATACCCATAGCCATCACAAAGGCTAATGCTTTAATTATTGAATAATGGAACAGATAATGGGGAAACTCTAAAACCACCTATTTCATCATCTTGAGATTGATATTAAGCTCATGTACTGTTTGGATCAAAAATATCTTTACCTATTAATATTAGTTATACTAGTTTTCAGCTCCTCTGCCATATGAGGGGGTCATGCTGTGACTTTAAACAAACTAATGTGACTACCAGATACTAAGTTTTGAACTATCACTAGCTAGTTAAAGTGCCAGCTGTAGTTTTATAACATCTATTTTATGGTTGTCTTTTATTCTTTTGAAACCATTTAGTATGAATGGGCAGTGGATTTGATGTATTACATGAACACAGTCCATTAAAACTGGATAGTGAGAAAATGAAAGTCAGACTCTAAAAAATATATAAACCTTGCTGATAATTCTATCACCTCTTAAAATGTCTAAAGTCATAGATTAAACTTGATGGGCCCAAAATAATTGATATTTTAGTGTCATGATTGTAAATTTAAGGCACTTTAGCAAAGCTTTTTTTCTTATTATTTTTTTTTTATCACTTCACATTTTTTACTCATTCAACATAATTTAAGTTACAGGAACTTTCAGTTTGATATTTAAACTCAATTAATGTCCTTTTTAAATAATCTAAAGGGAATCTTTCAGGTCATTCTTAAATATAGCCTCCATTCTTGAGTTTTCTTGTCTAGTAAAAAATATATAAAAACTTTTTTGCAAGATATTTTTTTTGTCGTGTTTGCTTAAGTAATTTCTTTCATACATTCGGATACCAAGTCAACCTTGATTTCAATGAAAAAAACATTTGTAATGTCTGTTATGGTTTTTTCACATATAATACTCACCCATTCAAATTCAAATGAGTCAATGAATGGCAGGACTCATGCTGCTTTCAGTCAAATAACATCAAAGCTATAACATACAGCGAATTATAATGGGATTGTTAAACATGTGTTTAAATGTTTTCAGCATTTAAGCTCAATTCTAAAGACAATTTAGGATTTTTTTTTTTTGTCTGCTATTTCATACAACTGTAACTGCTCCTATTTAAAATGCTCTTAAGGTTGTCTGGTTTTATTTTTACTGGCTAAGATTATCTCTGTGTACACATTTTCTGCATTGTATGTAATTTAATTCAGTATTTAATACCTCATTTACTGAACCTCTTCTGTCTTTTCTTTGTCTCCACAGGGGGGCGACTCCTTTTCCTAGTAATGTGGCTGAACCTATTGCCTCAAACTGACAGCTGCCCTGCCAAGTGTGTGTGCTACAGTGAGCCCAGGCCCACTGTTGCTTGCCAACAACAAGGACTGTTTTCCATTCCTTCAGAGATTCCTGTACGGAGCCAACGGATATTCCTCCAGAGTAACAAGCTGACTGTGGTGAGGTCCACTAGCTTCAGTTCTTGCCACAATCTTACTGTTCTCTGGCTCTACTCAAATAACATAAGCTACATTGAGGCTGGAGCCTTTTTTGGTTTGGAAAAATTGGAGGAACTGGACATTGGCGATAACAGCAACCTCCGCACCATTAGCCCAACAGCCTTTAGGGGTTTAACTAAGCTGCACACCCTTCACCTGCACAGGTGTGGCCTGTCAGAGCTCCCTGTTGGGGTTTTCCGAGGAATGTTCTCTCTCCAGTACCTTTATCTGCAGGACAATAACATTCCCACACTGCATGATGACACCTTTGTGGACCTTGCCAACCTCACCTATCTTTACCTGCACAACAACAAGATTAAGATAGTAACTGACAACATGTTTCGTGGCCTAATAAATTTAGACCGGCTTCTACTGCATCAAAACAGGGTAATTTTTGTCCAACCCAGTGCTTTTAGTGATCTCGGTAAATTAAAATCCCTGTTTCTGTTCTTCAACAACCTTACTGTCTTGACTGGGGAGACAATGGACCCCCTGATTTCTCTCCAGTATTTGCGCTTAAACGGTAATCAGTGGATTTGTGACTGCCGGGCAAGGACCATATGGGACTGGTTCAAACGTTTCAAAGGTTCCAGCTCAGAATTGGAGTGTCATGTCCCAGAGTTCCTGGCAGGAAAAGACTTGAAACAACTGAAAAGTGAAGAATTGGAGGGATGCATTGAAACAACACATATCCAGACAAGTCTTTTCAATTCCAAGGCACAGGCTGGAAAATTTTCTTCAACTGAAAGTCCTCTAGGTGACACCATTCCCAGGTGTTGTCTTGGAGATAATGACAAGTCCTCCATCCTGTCAGGAAAGAGTCGACAGATCACTAATAATGGTCTGAAGGGAAAGGAGAACATGTCCAAGACCAATTACAAGCTCCAAGAAAGAACAAAAAATGAGACCCAGAATAAGCAGAATGATGGGCCACTCGGAACGTTATCTAACAACCTGGACAAGACATTGGAAAATCTAAACCCAGAGTTCATAGAGAATCCGGAATCATCTACAGCGTCAAACAAAAAGAAAAAGAAGTGTTCCAAAAAACCCAAATTGGATGCCCACTGCAGTAAAAGCCAGAGCTCTACTTTGCAAGTGCTGCACTTTCTTATAATTCCCATGATTTGGATATCTTTAGCCATGTCTTAGGACTCCTGACAACACTCTGCACAAAGGACTAAAGAATGTTTATGCTAATGACAATGATACAGAAGATCCAGTGACACCTACAACAGGCAGTGACTGAAAAACAGGGAGTCATGTTGACCCAACATCGCTGGAGACAAACAATAAGGAAAACAGTACAATAAAAGAAATGGATGCCTTTACAGAACAATACAGATCCAATGTAAATATTGATTTGGTGCCCAAAATTGTTTGTTCTCTATGTACTCAACTGTACTGTGTCTAAGCTACACCTGGGAGAATTCTCCCATTTTCCCCGTTGAAAGCGTTTATTTAGACAGATCGTGACAGAACAAAACAAAGGACTAAATCATAGGTGATTAAAAAAACGTCATGCAACAAATCAGAGACACAATGAATACCAAGAATGTTTGGTCTGTTTAAAAAAGAAAAATAATTCCCCTCTCATTATTTATTCAAAATCATACATTTGTTGCAATGTTTTTTTTATGTTTATTCAAACAAATGTTTTGCCTCCCCTGGATTTTAGTTCTATATTTTCATGAAAGAAAGGAAATATGGGGAGCATTTGTGAAATGAATGCCATGCTTTTATTCATTGGAGATTGCAATGGAATCATAGATATGCATTTATTTTACTTGTGTACAAGTATGAATATATTATGAATAAAAGTTCTTATTTCATAAATGTTGCATATTTTGTGTGGTATTTTCTGAAGTTATAAAACAATTAGCTGTTACTTTTGTTTAACTGGAGAATCTCTGATAGGTTTATAACTGCATCGAAAAGATGTCTATAGTAAAAAAAAATAATAATGACGGTGTAAGAAAAAAAATCTGTGCCTTCCATTTTAATGTTCTAATACAGCTGGGTTTTTCCCCCATCAAACAAAAAGTTTTTAACTTTTATTATGATATTTATGTAAAAGAAAGGTTTCTGGTCTGGTATGTCTTTATTATATGACTGGCTCTTTGTGAACTTTCCTTCTTTTTTCCTTATCCCTTCTTATATATTGAGAGTGGAGGAGACACTAGTTACTCCATTTCATCATGTTTGAAGCAAATCATCAAAGCTAAGAAGAAGGACTGCAATATGTTCTATGTTTTCTTTCTTAACTCAATTAACTTATTTGAAATTAGAACGACTTCTAGGATATGTTTAATTCATATCAATCCCAGAAACAATTCACCTTCAAAAAATAAATATATTTATTCACACTTTCCTCAGCTTACTAAGTTTTGGCCACTACTGATAACTGATACATACACCTCAGCTTGAAGTGTGGCAGTATTGTTACAAAAACACTTCTAGCACTTCAGGCAGTTTGCAAAAATCCTAGACTAAATTTTTCTCTCATTCTGGTGATGCTAGCATAACAAATCACAGACAGTGTATCAGCAGGTATCTAGTCTTGGCTGCTGGTCATTTTTACACTCTCACAATGTTGTTACCTCTGAATTTGAATTATTTTATATCAAAATATGTTTTGGGGAAATGTATATGCTTTAGTTTAGGACAATTTGTGCTGGTTATGCATCAGTTCATTTCCATCAGGAGGAAATGTTATAAATGCTTTAACAAAGAATTATCTACTGTGATATTCTGTGTTACACTGATATTTTGCAGTAAAAAAAAAAAATATGATAGAGATAACCTAAGAGTTATCGTGGTGTGATTGGGTGTCCTGTCAAGAATCTGTAAAATTTCACAAGGAACACCCAGCAAACCAGGGATAAGAAATGAGAGAAAAATTAAGATTTAGTATACAATTTTTTTCAGAAAAGTTACATAAAGGTATATGAAAAAAAATGTTACAGTATGCCCTTTTTTGTAATACATTATAAAACTACTTATAAGAATAAAATAATGTACAAATGGTTTATGTACACTCTATGTAAACAATTATTTGTAGCACAAGACAAAGTGCAAAGATCAAATTAGAGGTAAAGATTTGAGAAGCAGACATTTTACTCAGTCTTGGTAGTGGGCTTTATTTAGGGCGATAAGAATGGCTTTATAAATGAACAAATTAGAATCTCAACTTTTTTGTCTTTTTTTAGATTTTTGTTTTAATCTTGATTTCATACTGGTCAAATAATCAGTGAAATACTTAGAATTTCAGTTTAATTAGTTCTAGTCAGTTATCTCTCTCTTTAAGATATTTTGAAACATCAGTGGTTATAATACGTATAATTCAACAAGCACATGAAGATATGATGCACAATAAATGCCCCAGAAAATTGATAAGATTCAGAATATGATTACAGATTTATATATTACATATACAGATGCACTGTAGCTCTATATGTCTGTATGAAAATCAAAGAAATATAAAAATAATGCATATCACTTCAAGACATTGACTTTAAGGAAAAATAGGCTCTCTAGGTGTTGCATTAAAAAAATATTATATATTCTTTAGACATGAAATGTAGCATGAAATATTAGAATAAAATAATGCATTATGTTAAACATCCCTACTGAGACAGGTAGTCTGAAAAAAAAAAAAATCCATGCCGGGATTTTCATAGATAAATAATGTAGAATTAAGATGTGCTAGAACCTGTGAATATCTTGTCAACAGCATTGTTTAACTTGCTGAATGACAATTCTTTAGACCAGAGGGCCCTCACAAAGCCTTGTGGGGAAATTAGTAAGAAATATTAAGATGGCTTCCACAGCAGCTCTCTCCTTGTTTTACCTTTACATGGCTTTGCAAGCTCAAAAAATGAGTCATTGAGCATGCCTTGACAACAAACTTGACAGGATGCACAACTGTGAAGCCATCTACAAGAAGGGACAGAGCAGATTGTACTTCCTAAGGAAGCTTAGATTTAGATTTTTTCACAAAAAATTATTCTTAAAGTGAAAAAATATATAGGCCTTCCGTAGACAACAGTGAGCATCCTCTTCAAAAGATTTTTGAACATCAACATTATATTCAGAAAGAGACTTATCCAGATCTGGTGCAAGACAGACAGAAGATGAAAGAAGAAGAGCCTCCCTGCCTACAGCTACACCTACAACACCTGAATTTAAAAACAATTACCTATGATTTACTGACACATTAAATTTCCCTTTGGGATTATTAAAGTATTCTAGAACTTAATTGCATTGAATTACAGTTCAATTCATGCTTTCTAAAATACAGTCATCATGATCTTGTGTCCTGCAGATGTGTCTCTGCTTCAACATCCCTGAATAAAATACTCAGAGTATTAACATAACACTGGAGAAGTTGAATCTATGCCGAGGAGGTAATTCACCAATTTGATTCAAGTGTGGAAGGAGAGAAACATCTTAAATTAGCAGGACACTGGAGCATAATGGACAAAATTTAGGAGGCCTGGTTTAATGTCTTCTCATATTTTTGTTTAATTCCCTTGTTATTCAGTTTTATTCTTTAATTCACACTGCGATTTCCAGAGAGTTTATAAAGTGTCAAACAAAAGTAGCTCTCTGGATAAATATATAAAATTTTCTCTTCTTCTAAACATAGAATTGGATCAGTGAAAGAATGTAACAGGAATTGTAAAGGCATCGGTGCAACATTGCTAGGGTTAATCGCACAACCTTATATTGAGGGATCAGTCTGACCTTTAATGGATGTCTTCCCACCTCTTAGGCACCTTTACTATCTTTAAAAGATAATACTAAATAAAGGCCACTAGTGCCTTTTTAAAAAAAAAAGAAGGAGAAGTATTTGGAAAGCGATTAGTTCCTTCTTTTTTTTTTAATTTAGAAGAGATAAGTTGATCAGGAAAAATGTGACGTTTAAATGGGATACCACATTTTGTAGAGTGACCAGAGTTTTTTCTGGTTGTTAATAAAGAGGTGCTCCATGCTGCCTTTGCTTCACCTGTTTTATTGCCAGTGACTTTTACATATCTCTTTTGATTTTACAAAAATGTTAAGAAATCTAATCTGATTTATAAGCTGTAGCTTCTATTAAAGTAAAAAAAAAATTCTCTCCTCACGTGCTGCTGACATACTGAATGGTTGGCTACACCCATTTAGTGAACAACAGTCTCTGGTGAAGAAGTAACAACAACTATATAGTTGCAATTTGGGCTGAGTGAGGTGGAGCTGAATAAAGTCGAATTGGTGGAAAAGTGGCAATAAAACTCCAAACCATTAACACCAAAAACAAACTCTGGGAAGTGCTTTTATTGCCTTGAAATTTGCCTGGTGAGCAAAAGGAATTTGCAAGGAAGGCAAATGTGCCTAGGGGGTGAAAGGCTCCTATAAAATTGATTGTGCTGGTTATTGATTTTCACATTGGTATACATCGATATCTCTGAGCAAATTGCAGTGCTTTTTATACTTTTGAAAACTGAACAAAACAGCCAGCATCGACGTCCCTGGATTCACGAAATTCTCCAGAGACGGAATAAGTATGGACATCACCATCTCCTCCAGGAACTACGTCTGAATAAATGTTGTTTGCAGTGGTACTTCTGCCTATCTATGACCCACTTCGGGGCCCTGCTTTCCCACTCTGGGGGATGAATCACTTGGACAACAGAGGGTAAGGTGACATGGCATTCTGGGGCTCAAAAAGAGGCAGCGAGAAATCACAAGTACACCAGCGGGGAAAAAAACAGAACTGGGACCAGACTGCTAGCAGTATCGCCATCTGGAACTATTGAAGCACAGCAGGAGATTGGAGGATTCCCCCAAGGAATCAGCACAATAGAGCGCTGAGAGGAGGCAGAGTGGGAAACCCGCTAGGGGCAACAGCACCAGCATGGGGAGGCTACAGCTGGCTTCAGGTTAGCTATAGAAGCTTCTTCTTCTTGCAAGGTTTTATGGCGGTTGGCAAACTTGTTAAAGTGCTTACTGCTACCAACTGATAAGGCATTAAACAAGGAAACAGGAAAAAAGTATCACACCTCCCAAAATATAAAAAGTAAATAAATGAAATATATAAATAAATCAAAAATAAAATTATAATTTTCTGAACTATTTAACCCGAAATATTAAATAACAAACACTTAATCAAATTCGTCATCATGGTTTCTAATTTATCTTTAAATCATTGTCATTCTGCTCGTTTCTGATTGTCCTACTCGTTTTCCAATCATACTTTCAACAGTTTCCCAGTTTGAAATCTCTCACTTATAGATACTTTTCTGCAGCTTTCACTTTTATTCTGATTTTTTCGGTTTTCTTTATCGTCTTAGCAGTACAATTGATCACTTCTACCATGAACAGCACAAAATCCTGCTTTTTAACAATCAATGAATCTTCTGCAATTTTGGGACACTCCTCCACTTGTCATTTACATTACTGTTGATTTGGGTCTTTCTAACTGGAATAAGATTCTTTTAATTGCTTCAATATAAGTTATTCCAAGCTCCAATTTGACTTTTTGTACCTCTTCAGATCTTTTGCTGACTTCACATCCGCGAAATGCAGCAGTTTGTTCTCAAGCACAGCTACAGCATTTAATCTTTACTTATTTCCCACATTTTCCACATTCATGCTGTTAAGCACCCCTTCCACATCGCTGTTTTCCCTTACATACAGCTATATGCTATATGTCCAAATTTTTGGCATTTGAAACATCTTAGAGGTAGAGGATTGACATTGTAGCTCATATCTCCAATGAAAGACTTATTGGGTAATTGCTCGTCTTCAAAT